TCAAAATTACCGAAAAATACCGCTTGAAAGAAAGCTCAATACCGCAATACCGTAAACCCCCATGTCCCCCTCGGTTAGAGAAAAGTATGTCGAATTCTGTGATACTAGTAACCTGAAAACAGCTTTATATAATACTCTCGCTTATAGAGCGTTTTCACTCACGTGGGCCAGCATCTATGCTAATTTATTGGAACAAAAGAAAGTTTTTACATACGAAAAGAGTTCAAGTCCACAAGATTGGTTTGGAACACCAACATGGCCACCGTTTCATTGTTTTGGAACATTAATATGGCAGCCGTGACGTCATGTGAAAACGCTTTATCTTCAGAAAATTCCCGACGTTAATAGAGGCGCGATAACAACATCTTAATGGAACTCCCAAACACAATTTAAGCTTGGAAATGTGTACAGTGGAAACAGAATGCAGCAAAGTGAGATCAAGTAGATGTATTCTTCTACTCGCACAAAAAAATTACCTAGATCTAAATTGCGGCTTCCTCCCTCCCCCTCCTCCCCATACAGGGTGCTACCTCCTTATACCCTTATACGCATCAAATTAAAGTTTGAAAAGAGCTGAAGAAGTGGTTACCATGGAACCCTTTTATAGACGATAAGTTACCATTAACCCAAACGCGGTGTTTATAACTTGTAAGTGGCTTTATTTACTATTTCTTCCATGCTTTTTTGTGGTTTATCAGTTTAAAACGAGTATCTAAAATTATGTATCATGAAAGAAAAAACTGATTCATTAGATTTCATGTTCGATGTTTTATATAGAACTACAACGTCGATACAACGCTAAAATCAAGTTGTCCGCTTTATGTACGATATCAGCACTATGGCAAACTGCCTAACTTTTTTAGCACTTATCTTCATCAATATAATTTTGCCTTTTAGATTGTTACATTGTTAGTAGTTTTTTCGCCTTGCGTTTACCAGCCTTCGCCTTTGCCCTTACTGTATAAAAAAGAGAACGCAAAAAGGCAAAGAAAGAAAGATTTGAGATCGAATTGCCATAAAACGGCTCTGGTGACGCTCTTTAACTTCGTGTCCACCATTTGTCCGACAAAATTTGTAACGCAAAGCTTACAAACAAAAATAGATAGCGTGCATGTCTTATATTCTTTTTCCTTTTTGCTCAAGTTTTCTAGCTCTAAAATCAATACCGTTATCCTAAATGTCGAGCTGATTCAAGGTTTTGTTGGATAATATTTATCTAATCACTATGAATCAATGCCTTAGCAAATCGTAGCCACTAATATATAGATTTAGCCAGGGCTAAAAGCGAAGCTCCCGTAATAAATTCAAAATTAAATCAAACAATAAACTTGTAATCCACAGATCAGGGCACATTCATGTGGCTTTTGAGGCAAAGGCTAAGTGATTTTAGAGAAAAATAATTTGACAGTCCAAGAGTCAAACAAATTTTACATCGAGTTGATAGTCTTATTTGTACACCCAAAATAGCAATCATGTTCGATCACAGTAGATTAGGCCTGGAAAGTGTATTGTATTTGCATTAGCTGTTGCATCATAATGTGGCATTCACCAGTGTCTCCAACATTGCTCCTTTTCAGAGACTATGGATAACTGGACGACTATGAAATATAATACTATGAAGGAACGGTGAAGCAGACTATTTTTTCCCGAAACTTTGTGTACACATTAAGGACAACAACAACTCGCCACATGGTGAGTTTCATCGATTTTTATTTCCATTTTCTAGCAAATTTCCAGCCCTAAACTTTGCCCCATATGTTCGTGACACTAACAGTGAGCCTGGGTCACATGTGATCAAAGCACGCGCTTCGAATTCCTTTGCACAACAAATTATAGCATTGACCACATTATAGAACGTTTTCATGAAGAGAATTCCATAATGCCGGGACTTTTCAGTTAGAAAAATCTGGTCCTATGTGATATGCAGGGTAATAATTATGGGCTTTTAGTGAAAACGATAAATAAAACTCCCAAAATCACCTTTTCGGCCAGCCTGACGGGTTCTCACTTTTGACAGGCACCAAATTTGCAGTGCGACTAATAGAGTTACCATTTACGCTTCAACATGATAGAGAATTTGTTATGTTTAGGTTTTATTTCCCTTTATTTATAAAACTGTTTATGGTTTTGTTATGTGTAATCTTTTAAAGCGAGTTATAATTTACGCGGGGCGTTTTGAGTATTTTTGTATGCGATGTTTATGTTCGACTGGAAATAACCGGTGCAGCGATAAAAATTGCGAGAGGGACTACTAACAATCAATAAAATAAATATAATTTGGTGAAACATGTACAGAGATAATGATTTTCATTCACGAAGACAAGTATTGAGAGTAAAGTGTCTCTGAAAATCATGAGTCAGGTAAGCATAAGCTTATTTATGTTTTAAGCCGGCTTCCCGGTATTTGCTCTTTTACAAGATGAACTCGTGGCAAGAAAATTGCTCAGAGCTTTCTGTTTACAGCCAAAATCATAACTAAATATTCTTCGGAACCTTTTCTTTGAATTTGCGGTCAAAAAAGTGTCTAAAGGCTTTTTAAACCTGATACTATTGTAGGTTAGATCATTGCTCGTGTATAAACTTAAGCCGCATAAACCAAACGCTCGACTTCAGGAAATCGAAAAAAAACACATCAAAAAAAAAAATTGCTCAGGCTTACCAGTCGAGATGCTGCCTCTGAAGGTCATCAAGTGTTCCAGAATCGCTTGAGACTTTTCAACCCTCTTACGCCTCAAGCAAGGGCAAGTGAGTAAGTTCATTTTTCAAAACGATGCCTTCTGAAATCGGATTTCCAATGACTTTGACAAGCGGTGCATTCGTCAACAAAAAGCGCAATAAACAAACCAGCCATGAATCACAGAACAATCTTGATAGCAGCTGTATTTCATTTTGCACATCCAGTAGAAAAAGGCAGTTTAAAACATCACAAGATGACACAAAACTCTGTCAGCTTCAGCTATCAGTAAGCAAGTTTCCAGACGCTGCAAACGCTGCATAAATTTTCCGCATGAACGCACCTGTCAAATTTTGACCAATCGGAACATAAAACTTGGACGTAGAGCGTGATCAACGCGTGACAGTGAGAAAAGTCAAAAGCGATTGCCTTCCCTGCATGTAAAAGCCGGTTAAATTTCCGCGTCCGAGGTCAGTTCGAAATCAAAATTTTAAAAGTGCAGCCCATGAACACGACTTATTTCATATGCATCTAAAAAAAATAAACTTGAGCCTGCAATCATTTGAAAAGTAGCAACTTGTCAGCGGATAACTTCAAAAAAGCACTCGAACTCAGTGGGTCGATACCTGAGCCCGCGATACGGTCAGGCGATACTGGTCAGCAGAAACACTGTTTTGGCAGCTGTCAATTAATCAAAACATAGATGTACAATATCAGGTTGCAGGCTCCCAAACTAGCTAGAAAGTGTGAGATTAAACATTGGCTTGCCTGTGGTGCGGACGGCCGGAAGGTTAGGTGGTCGGTGTACGGTCACGTGATTGCCGAATTTTCTAGGATGGATAGATTTTCTATGCTATGGGGCTTCGAATTGAGCCCGTGATCAAATAAAATATCAGCGGAAAACTTTAAAGACTACTTGACCTCAATGGATAGAAAAATGAGCCCGCGATACAGTCAGGTGATGATGGTCAGCGTATACTCTAGTTTGATAGCGGTCAATTAACCTTCATTAGAATGGCGAATATTCGAATTAACAGACCACGAATGTGAGTAAGACATACCGTCCGGCTTGTAGTGGAAAATGACAGATCGTGTACCTGAGCGAACCTAAGCCCACGTTATTAGTTTTCTTATAGTGGTCTGCACATATCCCATTTTGANGGTGGTCGGTGTACGGTCACGTGATTGCCGAATTTTCTAGGATGGATAGATTTTCTATGCTATGGGGCTTCGAATTGAGCCCGTGATCAAATAAAATATCAGCGGAAAACTTTAAAGACTACTTGACCTCAATGGATAGAAAAATGAGCCCGCGATACAGTCAGGTGATGATGGTCAGCGTATACTCTAGTTTGATAGCGGTCAATTAACCTTCATTAGAATGGCGAATATTCGAATTAACAGACCACGAATGTGAGTAAGACATACCGTCCGGCTTGTAGTGGAAAATGACAGATCGTGTACCTGAGCGAACCTAAGCCCACGTTATTAGTTTTCTTATAGTGGTCTGCACATATCCCATTTTGACAGCTGTCAATTGACCTTTATTTGGCTTGCCAATAAAACTTAAAACTACTGTCAGCCGACTCATAGCTCTGTAAGTGTGACATTTTATATCAGCTTTAATATATGTAGGGAAAAAACGACTGGTCTTTCATCTGAGCCCGCGAGATGGTCATGTGATAATTCTCAGCGGATGTCTGATTTTGACAGCTGTCAATCTAATCGTACTCATACGGATGGCTTACAAAACTGAAAGGCTAATCAAGTTGTGCAAGATCTATTGTGACATTTGACATCGGCTTACATGAAGTGTGTGTACGGATGGGCGCACGCTACGTCATAACCAAATTTTCTGGGATAGATAGTTTACCAAATTTTGTTACCCATGGTGCTCCGCTGCGCGCGCTTCGCGCGCGGGAGCTCCGCTAATATGCTTAACTGGGGCTGTTTATTCGCCTTAAGTACAACGCACCATACAAATATTCCAACAAAAACTGCCCGAGCATCTCGTGTTGCAAATTCGGAAACACCAGGCACGTTTTGTTCCTCAAAATAACGAAACAAATTATGTTAGCCGAGTTAGACCGTGATTCTGATAGTGGCACAGGCTTTAACCCAGTTAACGGCACGGGAACGAAAAACGACTCACAAAAACGACTAACGCTTGTGTATGGTAGTTAGCTGGTTGTTTTATCTATAGCTTTTGTTTTTGTTGTTCCCACTGCTCCCGCTGTTAATTATTGAAAGACAGACTTATACTCTTAAAAATTTTAGCTACATGTATCTTCTTTATTGAAGCATTATTTAACTTACGCTGGACTGGGAGGTTTCTCTGCCTGATGCGATAAATGGGCAACTTAGCACACATGGCGGCCATTTCATCACTCAGGAACGAGCGATCATTGACAGTACCAACAACAGCATATTCAGTCTCCCCTTGTGTCTCTGCTTGGCTGCTATCCTGGTTCGATGGCTGAAGGGAGAAAAAAAAGCAAAATTCTCACGAGTCTTTAAAGATGGTCTACCGTCGACGCCAACATGATGTATGACACAATCTCTGATTGCGATTCAGTAAATTAGTGCTTCATATCCGAGTATGAGTTCATTCTCCAAAAGGAACCCTTTTCTTCAATGGCTCCTTGTCTATTCCTAAGGGGCCGACCATTTGACTTTTAACTGGGTGGGAGGAGGGAGGGGCTATAGGTAATTTGGTTTGTGAAAGAATTTGTTTTTTCCCAAACTTCTAGTCATAGATTTTGTTCCTGACGTACAATGGTGTAAGATTTTTTTCCAGCATTATACGCCATGAAAGACATTTTTTTCCAGTGTAGGAGTTTTCATTAGCTAGGTGTTTCCTTATCTGCCCGCAAGATATATAATTTTTTTAAAACACCCTTTCCCACCCACCCCCCTCAAAAGTTAGTAAATGGTCGCCCCCTAATAAGGTCCGCGTAATTTTGCTGCGTAATTTTGTAGCACGTGACCAACTTTTCCCCTTTACTAAACATTTACTGTTAATCATACTGCATAAAAATAAGTAGTTTGCTGTAAACGTGATTATAAATCTCATAATGAACGATCCCAGAATTTAAAAGTTAGATCTTGCTCAACATTTAAAAGTATTTTTTGAGCCTAAAATGTCAGGTTTTTGCACTTTTGTTAAAAATCTTACAAAACAGTACCGAATGCTGCAAAAGGCTGAAATACTATACACAAATTAATTAGGCCTTGAAAATGCAAAATAAACAAAAAAGAGAACTTTCGATGTGATCAAAATCTAATAAGCTGTCCGAATATCGTTAGATGTAGAATTGCATGAATGAATAAATTAACTTTATTTGCAGTGAATAAAGTTCACTCATTCATCCATCCATTCATTCTTTCATTTAGTCCTTCCGTCCTTCCTTCCTTCCTTCATTCATTCATTCATTCAATGAAAGAAATATGTAAAAAACAATAGTAAAAGTGATAGTATTGATCAATACTAATGAATATCCAAAAAATCCTAGACCCCAGCACGTGTTTTATTTCTCTTTACGTGAATGTCATCAGCTTCAGATGTACTAAACAATTAACGTCTGAGAATGTACTTACCGTTTCAAGTAATTTCTTGAGGTCAGCTGGTTTTGGTAGATTGCCAGTAGAGTCGCTCAGAAAACAAGCTTTCTGATTGGACATTCGGTGCATTGCCATGTTCTACACCAAAAGGCTGTAACTATTTAAAAAATATTATTATACGTGCAAGGGGTGCATTGTCAATAAACAAGACTAATACGCGAAATCAGAGAGAAAGAGAGCAGTAAAAGTAGGCCATTCTGAAAAGACGACGCAGAGCGAAGGAGACGAAGGAAGGAAAGAAGAAGGAAGAAAAGAAGGAAGGAAGGACGAAAGAAAAGGAATGAGAGAATGTAAAAGAAACAAAAGGAAGGCTATTATATTTAAGATAAAATATGCCATATTTCAATTTCTGACCTACAAACTCACCTGTTTGAAATCGTAATCAACATCGACCTCTCCAGGATCGGGGCTAGTGTCGCCATTACTTGCTATGTGAAAGGTTTCTGTTTCCTTTTTGGTGTCAATTTTAATAGTTTCGTCTAAATCTTTGTCTCCATCCTTGACTTTAACTTTGTACTCCGAGACCTTATCGTTCAAGGTAAAAAAAATAAGCAAACATAATCACGGTGTTAACCATTCCACCTATTTGGAACGCTACGAGGTCTTGCAAGAATTTTTGCATAAAGAATTTCAAATAATTGCGGACGAGAACATCACAGTTAACTTTGAAATGTATCTTCACTGACGAAGAACTCGAACTCGTTAGAAACTGATTCGGCTTCTTGGTTAGAACAATAGAGACTATCATTATTAGGAATTTTAAAGCTATTATTTTCGAAAATACCATTCCGAAGCTTATCCCCCTCTGGTTTACAATGCTCGGACTACGATCCATGCCGTGGAGGAGTGTCGATTCTCTAGATGGATAATTGAGATGCTCGATTTCTCTTAACATCATTATAAAATTAGCACAAGTAACTCCCTTGCTTTTCAAGTGACTAATGCAGAAAAATTAGCCTGCTGTAGAATATCATTGGTTTTGAAAATTCGAAAAGCAATTAACGTACAGCAAAATGTGTCTGCTTGCCACCTTAACTTTTTCTCATCTGCTCCGCTTTTATAAACTGTCGCTCCTGAAGCGACCACAACAAAGACAGAAAAGGAAAGGATCAAAACTTTGAACTCCGGGTGAAAGAAAACGAAAAACCAAAAAAATAAGATCAATTGTTGCAAATCCTTCATCCCAGTTTAAATTGATAACATGGTTCCACTGGTAAGTAGCTCATTTTTATAAGATAGCATGCACAATATACAGTAACTAACCATTGTAGAACCCCTGTCGTGAAAACAACTCTTACTTTCTTCTTGCTCTTGATGCACAGACTTCCAAATTTGAAACTGATTGCAAGATATTGTTCAAATCAGCCGTTTTTATATCATCTGCTGGCCTGTTTCATGTTCCTGGTTCTTAACGTGATATCCAGGCTCTCAACGGGAACAAGCACTTCCTTGAGCGCGTATTGTTTCAAACGTGCGACGATTTTTACCTCGAAAACCATGAATTGACGCGAAGGAGTGTTATTAGCGATTATGTTTTACGAAATAATAAATACGTGTTATTCGATTGAAGTAGTAATCAAGTTTTCTTTGTTCAAGACAGGCATTCATTCACGTATTTCCATGGCACCTTTGCTACCCTTCTGGCTTTTTTGAATATCGGCTCCACTGAGTACTCCTGGCTACCCAACTTGGCTATTCAAGGGTAGCAATAATTTATTCTGTGTTTTCACTCACGTGGCAAGTATCTATGCAAATTTATTGGAACAAAAGAAAGTGTTTACATAAGAAAAGAGTTCATCTCCCACAGGACTGGTTTGAGACACAAACATGGCAGCCGTTTCATTGTTTTGGGACACAAATATGGCCGCCATGGCGTCATGTGAAAGCACACAATATAAAACAAACTAAACTTGATATTACAATTAAAGCTGAAGAATAGTTTCTACAACAAAAGCAAATGATTTATTAATAGTTCTTCAGTTTACACATAAATGAAGTTTTCTGAATAGTTGTATAAGTACATAGGCAGCTGTGCTACGAAGTACTACCTTTGGTGTACCCTTTCCATATTAATATGACTCAAACCCGGGTTCTGTTGGGGTTCGTTGTAGATCAGAGAGCTCAGGACAGCATGTGATCTTTCATCGTTTGAGAGACAGGTTAAAGCAATCAATGCTGGAAAGGAAATTTAGCTAGTGCGGTTCTTTTTACCTGCAGTTCTCCACTTTTCAACACCACACAGAGTAACTTTTCCCAATTCTTGTTGTATAGCTGTCAATTGAGAGGAGGAGTCACGTCTCCAGATTCTTAAACTTGTTACAGAACAATGAAAAGGTCTGTAAGAGAATTATGGCGATAAGTGAATTAATAAAATGCTTTAAGCAATAAGATGCGTAAAAACTTTTCTTAAAAACATTTTAAGACATTTTTAAAAAGTTAAAAACTATATAAGACGTTTTGACGTTCTTAATGTTTTTAAGAATAGTTTTTACGGGATTTTTTATAGCTATTTTTTTTAATAAGTCGCTTCTTTTTAATCTGCTTTAAGCAGTGCTACTGTAAAAGAGCATTTTAGGACATTTCGCGCTGTTTCGATTCCCACCGGAATTGTGTAGGGAAATAAAAAATAAAATAAAAAATAGAAAAATAAAATAAATAAATAAAATAAAATAAAAATAAAAATAAAAAATAAAAAGTAAAAAATAAAAAGAATATATATGCATGCAAGTAAGAACTGAATATAAAATTGCTCACCAATATAAAGTTCTAAAAAGATTAGTCTTATTATGTGCCTTAAAACTGTTCACATTAGTAATCGCACGAAGTTCTTTTGAAAGAGAGTTCCAGAGCCTTGGCGCTGCTACCATAAGAGCTCTATCACCTAACGTCTTCGATCGAACAGCTGGCATAGAAAGTAAAATACTACCTGAAGATCTAAGGTTATATAAGGACGATTTAAATGTTAGTAAATCGCATAGACATTTAGGAGCAAGGCCGTGAATTGCTTTGAACGTAATAAGCAGTATCTTAAATTGTATCCGGGCTTTAATAGGGAGCCAATGCAGACCACGAAGAAGGGGTGAGATGTGGCAAAACCTAGGGGCATTACAAACTAGCCCGGCTGAGGCATTCAAAACTTTCTGCAATTTGTTAAGCTGGTACTTGGGCAGCCAATACAAAAGACTGTTACAATAATGAACACGAGATGTAATAAATGCATGGACAAGCATTTCCGTTGATTCTCGAGACAAATACTTGCGAATGCGTTTGATATTATGCAAATGATAAAAGGCAACACCACATAACTTGCTTATATGAGTTGACATAGTGAGCTGCTCATCAACCAATGAGCCTAGGTTTCTAGCTACTGTTACAGGACAAACATCAGTCGACCCAACCCTAAAGCAATTGATGTTAACCTTGGCCAGCTGCTGCCTATAGTACCTATAATTAAAAATTCTGTTTTATCATCGTTTCACATAAGATTATCTGAATTCATCCAACTCTTAACGTCACTGATACAGTCAGTCATGGACTTGATGGCAAAATCAGCGTCCGCAGATCAACTGGGGCTGAATGATACATACAACCTGTGTATCGTCCGCGTAGCAGTGAACTTGTGGGAGGTGGCGTTCAACGATCTGAAACAGTTTGCGCGTGTAGATAGTGAAAAGCAAGGGGCCAAACATGATCCTTGAGGAACACCTTGTTTTGAAGGAAACTGATCTGAGAGACTACCATTTACAGAGACACGCTGGAACCGATCAGATAGATACGATTTAAACCAGGCAAGCGCATTGTCAGTTATTCCCAAATCAGACTCAAGACGACCAATCAGGTTATCATGATGTATCGTGTCAAAAGCTGCACTTAAATCTAATAATACGAGCAAGGTGACATGTTGCTCGTCCATAGACATCAAAATATCATTCTTAACTTTAAGTAAGGCCGTCTCCGTGCTGTGTTGCTGTTTATACGCCGATTGAAGCTGAGAATGTAAATTGTTGGTCGTCAGATGCTCCATAAACTGCTCAGCCCCAGCCCTCTCCGACAATTTAGAAATATAAGAGAGGTTACTGACTGGACGGAAATTTTTGAACGAAAAGTCCAAACCAGGATTCTTGAGAGATGGTAACACAAGCGCCTCTTTCCAGGCCTCAGCGAATCGACCGGTGTCAAGAGAGAGGTTGATCAGCTTAGTGATAACTGGCAAAAGAACATCCAGCAACTTGAGAACAATCGGAGTGGGAACGGGGTCGAGTTGACAAGATTTACCCGCTGCTTTACTAATCAACATGCGCACTTGTTCTTGAGAGAGAGAGTCCCTAAACCGGTAAACTGTTCTTTCAGGCATGTAATGTCAGTAGCAGGTAGAGATGATACGAATGATGTAGATAAATTAGCCAAAGACGCGTTTATATTCTCAGTCTTCTGTGCAAAGAAATTTCCAAAATCATTGGCATGCTGAACAGCTTAGCCCTGGGCAAACGTTCGTAATATTGTTGGGGGTTGTTGCGTCTGTTTGCACGTAGCTCAAGTATCAGTTTAATTTGGTTTTACGTATCTTGGCATGCCTTTTTTAAAGTAACTTGTAGTAGATATTTACCTGCCACTGTGATCACAGTAAACCTTCGCTTTGTTGTCACGTCAAAGGGAAGTGGTAGGGCACGCTTTAGTTTTAATTTAACAATTAATTTCCTTATATATCCTACTCGTATGAGCACTGTTATTGTGTATAGACCGCCGTATTCAGAAGATCATCCAAGAACTGCTGGCGTTTTCTTTCACGAGTTTGCTTGACTACCTCGAATCTGTCGTCATGTCCACCGGTAAGTTACTGATAACTGGTGATTTTAATTTCCATGTGGATGTGCCTACTGATCCTATTAACATACACTTCAGGGATCTTTTAGACGCGATGGGTCTTGTCCAACATGTGAAGCAACCTACCCATATACACGGCCACACTCTAGATCTCATCATTACGCGCCAATCTGATGACTTCGTTGCTGAAGAGCCGCTTTCTGAGACATTTATCTTTAAGGACACGTAGACCAGTCATAGAACTGAAGCAAGCTGAATACAGGAAGTTGAAGTCTATTGATTCTGTACTTTTCGCTGAGGACATTCCCCCCGACGACTTGGATATACTAGTTAATTGATACAACACGACGCTGATCACTACTAAACAAACATGAACCGATACAATCACGAAAAATAAGAATTAGGCCCAGGCCGTCTTGGTTTGATAACGAGATTATGCAAGCAAGGCGTGCCAGACGGAAAGCTGAGAAACGGTGGAGGAGAACTGGGCTGGCCTCGGACCTTCTAGCGTTCAAATCCAGGAGAAATTATGTAATGAATGTTCTGAACAATGCGAGAAGAACATATTATAGCTCAAATCAGTCAAAGCTATAAAGTCGGGGTAGCAAGCGTCTATTGAATATTCAGGCTGAAAATACCCTCCCGCCTCACTCGAATGCTGTTAACTAACTCGCCAACGATATGGGGGACTACTTTGTTCATAAGATCACTGCAATAAGATTCACGCTGGCGGCCAGCACACAATCCTCTCCCAGTGCTGCCCAAGAATCTGATTATACTAGCACCTTGGAAACGACTGACCTTTCTTTCTCTGAATTCGCGCTACTCTCCGCGTAGGATGTAAAGAATTTAGCACTAACCTGTAAGAAGTCGTGTGACCTTGATCCACCACCATCTTCTATATTGTCTATACATCTGGACAATCTACTCCCTGTCATCACAAAGATGATTCAGCTTAAAACCCCCATATATGTAAATTAGACATTAAATTCGAAAACTGATACATTAGTACATTAATTTTTATCAGATTTGCTATTGTAAGCATTTCAAGTAGCCTTCCATTTCTCAAGTCTTGTGTAACTCTCCTCCACTCGAACGTTTTTGCTTGCCAAAGTCCAACGTTTCCAACCATTAAGCCAATCAAAATTTATACCTTCAGAATATTGTATACCTGCCAACTCTCACGCATTATGAATGAGTCTTACGCCTGTGGACAAAAGACATCGATCTCACCCATCAAGGACAATTTCTCACACCCGACTCACAAATCCGGACAAATTGTTCTTTAAAACACATGATAAATAGTGAAAATTCAATCCTAAAAGGCGTTAAATGATGACTTTGTGTCCTTTTTTGTGTTCTAACGAAATCAAAGCACGCAAAAATTGTCGTCTTGTAGGTAGCTTCGGAAGTGCTCAAACGTCTTCGAAATATGTGCAGACAGTTTCGGCAACGTTCGGAAGTCTTCAGAAAGTCGTCGAAAATCTTCGAAAGTAGCCGGGGCGTTTCCGGAAATCTCGGTCATGAGGTGAAAATCTCACGCATTTGACTCAGAAAAAGTTGGCAGGTATAATATTGGGACGTAGATCGTACGAAAGTTAGACCTTATCTGAATGGTCTCGGCAAAAACTTGCAATTGCTTTTGTAACGCCCTCATTAGCAGCCATCGTATGCTGGCACGATCTTAGAGGAGCGTAAATTCGAGCAGAAAGTACATGACACACATGGTTTTACGGTAATTATTAACGAAATATGACACTTGAGCGTCTTGCTGCTAAGAGTACCTATAAAAACGCACATTTGATCACATTGTCTAAAGAAAAGTGTGAACAATGCTATTTAAGGCCTTAAAAACGGGTTTTATAGAAAATAATGGACAATCAGGTCCTTTGTCAGCTGTCAGTAAAACCCAAGGCAAATGTCAATTGTCAGTTAAATTTTAGATTATTTGTCAGTTGTCAGTTAAAATTTTGCCCATTTGTCATTTGTCAGTTAACCCCATCCAGACCCTCTTCAAAGCTTACAGAGAAAGCAGTTGTTATCCATTTACAGGCCCACATGCTGACCAATGGCTTGTTCCCGGAAATGCAGAGTACGTATCGTGAGCATCACTCCACTGGGACGGCGTTACTGAAAGTCAAGAGTGATATTCTAATGAATATGGATATGGGTCATGTGACACTCCTAGTTCTTTTGGATCGCCTTTGAGCTGTGGACCATGACATTCTTATTCATGAACTCAAGTCACTGCTCGGCCTACATGCTTTAGCACTTCAATGGTTTCGATCCTATCTGAGAGGTCGATCGCAACAAGTTACAATTAATGGTGTTCTTTCCAAAGGGTTTGGCCTAGAATGTGGGGTGCCTCATTGTCCTCTGCTTTTTACTATCTATGCTAGCAAACTTTTCAGTGTTATTAAATCTCACCTGCCGTCTGCACTCTCGTACGCAGATGATACTCCATTATACTTGTTATGATTAGTTGATGTTGAACGATGATAAGACTCAGTTTCTGGTCATCGGCACTAGCAAGCAGCTATCTAAAGTGTCTGTTAGCAGTATTAAGGTTGGCGACGTTGATGTAATTCCCGTATACTCGGCAAAAAATCTGGGCTCCTGGTTCGACTCGTACATGGATATGGCAACGCATATTACTAAGACCTGTGGTAGAGCATTCTTTTATCTGTATAATATCCGACACATACGAAAATACGTTATTAGTGAATGTACTGAGAAACTGATTCATGCATTTAACATAACCAGTAGGTTAGACTATTGCAACAGTCTTCTCCATGGAGTTACCGACCATCACATGCAAAAACTCCAACGTGATATGAATGCCAGTGCGCGATTAATCTTCTGCGCACCTAAACACTGTCATATTACACCGCTCCTTCAACAACTTCACTGGTTGCCTATCCGCCTACGTATCGAGTTTAAAATCCTTTTGATCACCTTTAAAGTGCTCCAAGACTCAGCTCCTAAATATCTGATTGATTTAATTTCTGTTTTACCGCCATCCCATTATGATTTACGGCGAAATAACGAGGGAATTCTTCTGAGCACCCCAAAGCCTTTCACAAAAGTTACCATGGGGGATCGATCCTCCATGGCGGCAGCGCTACGGCTTTGAAACAGTCTTCCTGTAGGCATTAGATCTGCTTGCACCAAAAGTGATTTTAAACAGAAACTTAAGACATTTTTATTCAGCAAGGCATTTTGTTAGTACAATTAGTTTATATTTAGATTTTTATATAGTTTTTCTGCAAATTACTTTTCTTATAGCCAATTGTAAATGGTTTAGTCTTTTATTCCTGAGTGATTGTAAATAGGTTCTTATTTTTGTATTTATTGTAATGTTTTATTGTAATGATTATTTTTAAAGAAAATGGGCAATATAATTATTATTATTATTATTATTATTATTATTATTATTATTATTATTATTATTATTATTATTATATAATTTGCAGCCAGTAACTTCCTTCATTTCTAAAAGTGAAACAACTTCATGTCCAGTTTGACAATGACCTAAAGAATTGTATTCAGAATCCTCCAAATCCTGCAATCTGATTGGTTCCGAGAGCGGGCGGTACTTTACGATCGTGTCCGCTAACCCGGGCGGAATCGTTGGCAGCTTCATTCACAAGCTAAGTTTGTTTGTTGTTTGTGAATGAGCAAAAACCGTCATTTTAAACCACCTTCTCTTAAAACCTGCGCTATTATTAGCTAGGGAAAAGTGAATTGTATTATTCAGACAAAAAATCTGAAGGGAGAATCAAGTAAGTCAGCCAGGAAAACCGCTATTAAAAGTAAAGACCAGTAAAGCAAAACAGGTGGCTAGTGATGTCGCTTCACTAGCTTTATAACCGCGCTGTAAGTACTGCAATCTTACTTTTATGCACCGTTTATTGGACATCTTTGCTCTGTTTGTAGTTTTGTTCTCCATTTTTGCTGTATGAATCTAGATTCTGCCGCTTTTCATTGAATTTTGCCTGGCTAGTTTTCTACCTATCAGAAAAGGCTCTTGTCAATGATTGCATTTAACATTCAATCTTACATAAACAACACGAATCACTTTTCCTGCAGTCGGTTATCGCCGTTTTCATTTCTTTGTTTATAACTTGTTACACACATCGCCTTCTTTTATTCGAATTCAATTCAAAACATTAAAATTGGTATTTGTAGTTAACTATTTTTACGAAGCCTTTGTGCGGTTTTCATCCCACTCGATTGAACTAATCTTAAGCAAGTTTTGAAGCATTCAGCTGAAGAAAATCCTTGCTGTATTTTTTTTCCTGGGGCTTTTAATATCAAGCTCGTCAATTCTTTTATCCTTGTTTGACACTCAGATTATGAATTGTCTAGCAAGACAAAAAACCTTTCTTTATTCCAAAAGAGAGCAGTAAATGCCATCATATAAATTACCGAGCTAAAAATCGTGTT